AAAAGTGTAGAAAAAAATTGACAGCCCGATCCGAGTAGAGGAACACCAATTTTATGACCATTAAAGCGATTTTCGTCAAAAAAAATTTTCAAAAAAATTCAATTTTTCTTAGGCACACTATTTTATTGCAATTTCTTGCACAAAATACACCTACAAGTGTAGAAAAAAATTGACAGCCCGATCCGAGTAGAGGAACACTAATTTTATGACCATTAAAGCGATTTTCGTCAAAAAAAAATTTTCAAAAAAATTCAATTTTTCTTAGGCACAGTATTTTATTGCAATTTCTTGCACAAAATACACCTAAAAGTGTAGAAAAAAATTGACAGCCCGATCCGAGTAGAGGAACACCAATTTTATGACCATTAAAGCGATTTTCGTCAAAAAAAAATTTTCAAAAAAATTCAATTTTTCTTAGGCACACTATTTTATTGCAATTTCTTGCTCAAAATACACCTAAAAGTGTAGAAAAAATTTGACAGCCCGATCCGAGTAGAGGAACACCAATTTTTTGACCATTAAAATGATTTTTGTAAAAAAAAAATTTTCAAAAAAATTCAATTTTTCTTAGGCACACTATTTTATTGCAATTTCTTGCACAAAATACACCTAAAAGTGTAGAAAAAAATTGACAGCCCGATCCGAGTAGAGGAACACCAATTTTATGACCATTAAAGCGATTTTCGTCAAAAAAAAATTTTCAAAAAAATTCAATTTTTCTTAGGCACACTATTTTATTGCAATTTCTTGCACAAAATACACCTAAAAGTGTAGAAGAAAATTGACAGCCCGATCCGAGTAGAGGAACACTAATTTTATGACCATTAAAGCGATTTTCGTCAAAAAAAATTTTCAAAAAAATTCAATTTTTCTTAGGCACACTATTTTATTGCAATTTCTTGCACAAAATACACCTACAAGTGTAGAAAAAAATTGACAGCCCGATCCGAGTAGAGGAACACTAATTTTATGACCATTAAAGCGATTTTCGTCAAAAAAAAATTTTCAAAAAAATTCAATTTTTCTTAGGCACAGTATTTTATTGCAATTTCTTGCACAAAATACACCTAAAAGTGTAGATAAAAATTGACAGCCCGATCCGAGTAGAGGAACACCAATTTTATGACCATTAAAGCGATTTTCGTCAAAAAAAAATTTTCAAAAAAATTCAATTTTTCTTAGGCACACTATTTTATTGCAATTTCTTGCTCAAAATACACCTAAAAGTGTAGAAAAAATTTGACAGTTCGATCCGAGTAGAGGAACACCAATTTTTTGACCATTAAAATGATTTTTGTAAAAAAAAAATTTTCAAAAAAATTCAATTTTTCTTAGGCACACTATTTTATTGCAATTTCTTGCACAAAATACACCTAAAAGTGTAGAAGAAAATTGACAGCCCGATCCGAGTAGAGGAACACTAATTTTATGACCATTAAAGCGATTTTCGTCAAAAAAAATTTTCAAAAAAATTCAATTTTTCTTAGGCACACTATTTTATTGCAATTTCTTGCTCAAAATATACCTAAAAGTGTAGAAAAAATTTGACAGCCCGATCCGAGTAGAGGAACACCAATTTTTTGACCATTAAAATGATTTTTGTAAAAAAAAAATTTTCAAAAAAATTCAATTTTTCTTAGGCACACTATTTTATTGCAATTTCTTGCACAAAATACACCTAAAAGTGTAGAAAAAAATTGACAGCCCGATCCGAGTAGAGGAACACCAATTTTATGACCATTAAAGCGATTTTTGTAAAAAAAAAATTTTCAAAAAAATTCAATTTTTCTTAGGCACACTATTTTATTGCAATTTCTTGCACAAAATACACCTAAAAGTGTAGAAAAAAATTGACAGCCCGATCCGAGTAGAGGAACACCAATTTTATGACCATTAAAGCGAATTTCGTCAAAAAAAAATTTTCAAAAAAATTCAATTTTTCTTAGGCACACTATTTTATTGCAATTTCTTGCACAAAATACACCTACAAGTGTAGAAAAAAATTGACAGCCCGATCCGAGTAGAGGAACACCAATTTTATGACCATTAAAGCGATTATCGTCAAAAAAAATTTTCAAAAAAATTCAATTTTTCTTAGGCACACTATTTTATTGCAATTTCTTGCACAAAATACACCTACAAGTGTAGAAAAAAATTGACAGCCCGATCCGAGTAGAGGAACACCAATTTTATGACCATTAAAGCGATTTTCGTCAAAAAAAAATTTTCAAAAAAATTCAATTTTTCTTAGGCACACTATTTTATTGCAATTTCTTGCTCAAAATACACCTAAAAGTCTAGATAAAAATTGACAGCCCGATCCGAGTAGAGGAACACCAATTTTATGACCATTAAAGCGATTTTCGTCAAAAAAAAATTTTCAAAAAAATTCAATTTTTCTTAGGCACACTATTTTATTGCAATTTCTTGCTCAAAATATACCTAAAAGTGTAGAAAAAATTTGACAGCCCGATCCGAGTAGAGGAACACCAATTTTTTGACCATTAAAATGATTTTTGTAAAAAAAAAATTTTCAAAAAAATTCAATTTTTCTTAGGCACACTATTTTATTGCAATTTCTTGCACAAAATACACCTAAAAGTGTAGAAAAAAATTGACAGCCCGATCCGAGTAGAGGAACACCAATTTTATGACCATTAAAGCGATTTTCGTCAAAAAAAAATTTTCAAAAAAATTCAATTTTTCTTAGGCACACTATTTTATTGCAATTTCTTGCACAAAATACACCTAAAAGTGTAGAAAAAAATTGACAGCCCGATCCGAGTAGAGGAACACCAATTTTATGACCATTAAAGCGATTTTCGTCAAAAAAAAATTTTCAAAAAAATTCAATTTTTCTTAGGCACACTATTTTATTGCAATTTCTTGCTCAAAATACACCTAAAAGTGTAGATAAAAATTGACAGCCCGATCCGAGTAGAGGAACACCAATTTTATGACCATTAAAGCGATTTTCGTCAAAAAAAAATTTTCAAAAAAATTCAATTTTTCTTAGGCACACTATTTTATTGCAATTTCTTGCACAAAATACACCTACAAGTGTAGAAAAAAATTGACAGCCCGATCCGAGTAGAGGAACACCAATTTTATGACCATTAAAGCGATTTTCGTCAAAAAAAAATTTTCAAAAAAATTCAATTTTTCTTAGGCACACTATTTTATTGCAATTTCTTGCTCAAAATACACCTAAAAGTGTAGAAAAAATTTGACAGCCCGATCCGAGTAGAGGAACACCAATTTTTTGACCATTAAAATGATTTTTGTAAAAAAAAAATTTTCAAAAAAATTCAATTTTTCTTAGGCACACTATTTTATTGCAATTTCTTGCACAAAATACACCTAAAAGTGTAGAAAAAAATTGACAGCCCGATCCGAGTAGAGGAACACCAATTTTATGACCATTAAAGCGATTTTCGTCAAAAAAAAATTTTCAAAAAAATTCAATTTTTCTTAGGCACACTATTTTATTGCAATTTCTTGCACAAAATACACCTAAAAGTGTAGAAGAAAATTGACAGCCCGATCCGAGTAGAGGAACACTAATTTTATGACCATTAAAGCGATTTTCGTCAAAAAAAATTTTCAAAAAAATTCAATTTTTCTTAGGCACACTATTTTATTGCAATTTCTTGCACAAAATACACCTACAAGTGTAGAAAAAAATTGACAGCCCGATCCGAGTAGAGGAACACCAATTTTATGACCATTAAAGCGATTTTCGTCAAAAAAATTCAATTTTTCTTAGGCACACTATTTTATTGCAATTTCTTGCTCAAAATACACCTAAAAGTGTAGAAAAAATTTGACAGCCCGATCCGAGTAGAGGAACACCAATTTTTTGACCATTAAAATGATTTTTGTAAAAAAAAATTTTCAAAAAAATTCAATTTTTCTTAGGCACACTATTTTATTGCAATTTCTTGCACAAAATACACCTAAAAGTGTAGAAAAAAATTGACAGCCCGATCCGAGTAGAGGAACACCAATTTTATGACCTTTAAAGCGATTTTCGTCAAAAAAAAATTTTCAAAAAAATTCAATTTTTCTTAGGCACACTATTTTATTGCAATTTCTTGCACAAAATACACCTAAAAGTGTAGAAAAAAATTGACAGCCCGATCCGAGTAGAGGAACACTAATTTTATGACCATTAAATCGATTTTCGTCAAAAAAAAATTTTCAAAAAAATTCAATTTTTCTTAGGCACAGTATTTTATTGCAATTTCTTGCACAAAATACACCTAAAAGTGTAGATAAAAATTGACAGCCCGATCCGAGTAGAGGAACACCAATTTTATGACCATTAAAGCGATTTTCGTCAAAAAAAAATTTTCAAAAAAATTCAATTTTTCTTAGGCACACTATTTTATTGCAATTTCTTGCTCAAAATACACCTAAAAGTGTAGAAAAAATTTGACAGCCCGATCCGAGTAGAGGAACACCAATTTTATGACCATTAAAGCGATTTTCGTCAAAAAAAAATTTTCAAAAAAATTCAATTTTTCTTAGGCACACTATTTTATTGCAATTTCTTGCACAAAATACACCTAAAAGTGTAGAAAAAAATTGACAGCCCGATCCGAGTAGAGGAACACTAATTTTATGACCATTAAAGCGATTTTCGTCAAAAAAAAATTTTCAAAAAAATTCAATTTTTCTTAGGCACACTATTTTATTGCAATTTCTTGCACAAAATACACCTAAAAGTGTAGAAAAAAATTGACAGCCCTATTCGAATAGAGGAAGACAAATATAATTTTTTTTAATGTTTTGTCGAAATAATTAAATATGAAGGAATATTTTTTTTGTAAACATATTTAAAAATTCCATTCTAGTACAATAATTTTTTTTCGTGCAACACAGTTCCTAATTTAATGAAAATAATATTGCCGCACTCTTAAGAGATTATAGATAAGAAGATAAATATGTTGATCTTAAATGATTGCGTAGGAATGCTTCAGTCTACAATGTGCTTCTGAATAGTCGAAATCATACTGATAAATAATTATATACATAGAAACAAAATTATGTGAATATTTTTAAATAATTATCAAAAAATAATTTTAAAAAATTTCTAATAAAAAAATATTTGTTAAAGGTATGTCAATTTTTTTATTTCTTTCTTAATATTAGAAATAAATATTTAATTAAAAAAATGTTATTGTATAGTTATACAAATACATAATTTTCAAAACGAAAAATAATTTTTCTCTTACTAGAAATATATTCAAATTGTATTGATAAATTGATTAAAATTTCTCTCTCTGCAGAAAAGTTGGTTTTTGTTCTTATACTTTCTTATCAGAATAACGTCTGCATTGTTTACAATCTATTGGCTACCATTATCAGTGTTGATAAATAAAATACAAAATGTTGTCTCTTATCGCTTTCTTCAGAAAGCAGGAAAATTACTAATTAATTTGAAAAATATCGAAATAATTATTTTATAACTGTTTTCTTTTTTTCCAGAGAAAAAATAAAAAAAAAACTCAAAAGAATTGTATTTTATTTGTCTCAATTGTCATATGAGAAAACTATTTTTAAAAAAATTTCACTGAATAAAAATGCATTCATGCAAAATAAATTCGAGAAATAATTATAGACTTGAAGATTTAAGACGTTTAGAGCAAGCATTACGTACAGCGTCAGCATATATGACAAATTATGCAAGACATGAGGATACGGCAATTTTTATTGGTAGTACAAGATCTGGTAAAAGTTCATTAATTAATTATCTCATAGGCAATAAATTAATTGGTAAAAAAGTTGCAATTTGTAAGCCAGTTGCATTAATAAAAGCCGATACATCGCCTGGACCACAAATTGGAATTGGATCAACTTCAGAGACTGCAATTCCAAGTAGATGGGATTCACAATGTTTATCGGGATTAGGAATATGGGATGCGCCTGGATTTGATGATAATCGTGGTGTTGTACAAGATATTACAAATGCATTTTATATTAATGAATTATTTAAAAATATTAATTCGGCAAGAATTGTATTGGTTACTGATATTAATGATATTGCAAACGATAGTATTAGACCATTTTTATCATTATTAAATTCAGTTGAACGTATATTGAAAGAAAAAATGCGCGATTGTTTTTCAAGTGTTGCTGTGATATTTACAAAAGTACCCGATTCATTGCACGATAATCGTGTTGATAAGAAATTTATTAATGAACTTCTTAAGGAACAATTTCTCTCTAGTAGTGCAATTGATATTTCAGAGGCTGCAAAAGAATTTATAAGACATTTAATAAAAAATAATCAAAATATTGGTTTTTTTAAAAAGGCAGCCGCTGGTAATGTCACTGAACATGCAATTGATGTTTGTATAACGGATGCAATAAAAAGTACAAGCGGTGTTGATGAAGGAATATTAAAACAAGTCTCACCAAGTATTTCCGAAGGTTCAAAAGTATTTTTATTTGAAGTACGCGAACAATTATCATCAATGAAAGAATTTAATCAATTGCAAAAATTAGTTGGCAGTATATTTGGTAATAAATTAAACGATTTTGAAATAATGAAACAAGATGGTGTTTCGTGTGATCGTCTTATTGAAATAAATCAAGAATTATTTATTATTAATGATCAATTTAAACGTGTATTAAATTCAACGACAAATCTTCATAGTAAAATATTGACAATACAAAAAATTGATTCGTCAATTGAAAAATTTATTGACGATAGAAATTTATTGCAAAAGGCAAAATTTATGGAATTTGTCGATCAATTGTTAGATTTAAAGGAGAGTCGTCATTTTGATTTTAATTTACATGGTATTATATTGACGGCAATGACAAAAGTTGAGGAATTAATTATTTGGGTGAAATTACAATTAGGTGAAATAACGAGAAAAGAAGCTGAAGATGAATTATATAGATCGAAGAAAAATTATGAAGTTGAAATAAATAAATTGAAAATTGAAGTTAAATGTGCAAAGGCACATAATAATAAAGTTAGAATTGAATTAGGTCCATTGGCACGTGCAGGAGCAACTGTTGATGATTTGATAAAAGTAATTGGACTTTTCTTTTCGAAATTTAAAATTAAATTTCGGTAATTTACAATCTGTAAATTATAAAATATTCGTCAGTGTAAAAAAAAAAATAAATTACGAAATCCCACCGCTGTCACCATTGCTTTTTTCTTTTTAATTAAGATTCGTTTTTATTTATAAAAATACTCATCCAAGAAATTTCATAATGTTGATATAAATTTTCTTGGAGAATGTAAAAACCTGATTCATCGTGTTACATTCTTATTGTTTGAAAATCTTTTATTAAACAGTAAATTGTGAAAACAAATTAATTTTCTTTATTTCTCTTTTCCTGTCATAATATGAAATTTTTGTCAATAAAAATAGTTCGTTTATTTGAATTTATTTCCTTAATAAAGTAGAAATTTAATCCCTATTCAATGCATTGCTCAATTTCAGATGATTCAAGGAAATCATCATCATTAACTGATAAGAGCTGTATTATAAATTACTGAATAAAAGAAAAAAATTGATTCACTAGCAAGTAGTTGAATTCTAATAAATCCAAAGACATTTTTTCTCAATAATAATTAAAATATTAAAATGTGAGTACTTTAAAATAAATTTTACATTTATCTATTTTTTTGTGTAACTTTTATTATAAATTCTAGAAAAAAAGAAACTCACAAAAATGATTTTAAAATGGATATTATTCTTTGCATCAATAACAATTGTCATTGGTTCAACTGAAGATGATTCATCAATGATTGATGATATAAAACATTTAGAGAAAGCTCTTCATATTGCATTAAAACATATGAAAAAAGAGGCAAAATATGAAGACGTGGCAATTTGCATTGGATTAACAAGATCGGGAAAAAGTACATTAATTAATTATTTAATTGGAACAAAATTAATTGGCGAAAAAGTATCACTATTCAAACCAGTGGCATTGAAAAAAGAAGATAATAATTCTCCGGGACCGGAAATTGGAATTGGATCAACATCCGAGACAATGATACCAACAAGATGGATATCTAAAAATTTTTCCAATTTAACAATTTGGGATGCGCCTGGATTTGACGATAATCGAGGACCAGTACAAGATATTACAAATGCCTTTTATATCTATCAATTACTTCAAAATGTTAAATCATTGAAAATTATTTTAGTCGTTGATTTTAATGATATATTAAACGACAATATTCGACCATTTTTAACATTATTAATGTCAGTGGAAAATTTATTGAAAAACAATATAAATAATTGTTTCTCAAGTATGGCACTTATTTTTACTAAAGTACCCGATTTTTTAAACACAAATCCCATCGATTTTCATTTTATAAATGATTTATTGAGAGAACAAATTTTATTAACAACCGCAATTCATATGTCTGAATCATCAAAAAAATTTGTTCAATTTCTCATTGAGAATAATCAAAATATTGGTCTTTTTAAGAGAGCAAAAATTGGTCCAGTCACAATTGATAATATTGAAAATGGTATTACTCAAGCAATAAAAAATACAACTCAAATTAATCAACATTTATTGAGACAAGTTTATCCAAGTATTTCTCAGGCGTCAATTATTTTTCTATTTAAAATACGTGAGAAATTATCATCAATGGATGTATTTGTTAATTTACAAAATATTTTACGTATTGTTCTTGATGAAAAATTAGAAAATTTTGCAAATATCAATAAAATTGAATTATTAAAAAATAAATTAAATTCAATATCAAAAGAATTATTAAAAATACGTGATCAAATTAATAAAGCTCTTGTTAAAACATTGACATTTTCTGGTAAAATTGAAATTCTTCAACAAATTGATCCGACAATTAAAAAATTAATCAATGACAATAATTTAATGGAAAAATCAAATTTAATGGAATTTGTCGATAAATTATTGGATTTAAAAGAAAGTAATCAATTTTCAATTGGTATTGAAGGTGTATTATTAACGGTGAATACAAAATTGGGTGAATTAATAACTGCTGTACAATTGAAATTAGGTGAAATAACACAACAAGAATATCGTGAAAAAATGGAAAGTGAAAGAAAAAAATTTGAAGAAGAACGACGTAAATTAAATGAACAAATGAAAAAGGTGAGTGAACATAATAAAGAAAGAACAAATATATTTGGTGAATTGTTCAAAGCTATTGGTATGGGTCTTGGAATGGTACTTTCCAAATTATTCGGTTGATTTTTCAAAAACAAAACATTTCAATATTTTTTTAATATATTAACCAATAAAAAAATTATATAATTAAATATTATTTCTACTGTTAATATATCATATTTTTTTGTATAAAAATTATAGAATTTATTTCATTGTATATAAAAATTAAATTAGGGATGTGATTGTGTAATTTCATATTCACTTCCACTTTCACTTCTATTTTGACTTTTATTTTCACATTCACTTTTACTTTGTTTTTTTATTTCAACTGAAATTATTCACTGGAGAGTAAAAAGTGATAGGGAAAAAGAAAGTCAACGTGAAAATGAATGTGAAAGTGAAAGTGTAAATGAAATTATGCTGTTATAATAATTATATCGCAACGATAAAAAATGATTTAAATTGTATCATTCTCTTTACAAAATGTTAAAATAAAATAATGCAAAATTGTAATTTTTCTTCACAAGTTAGTACAATAAAAAAATAACTATAGCAATTTTTATTGATATTTATAGAAGCGACTGGATCAATTTCGACATCGAGGCAATTTTATTCGTTTTTTCTTTTAGAGAAAAAAGTGAATTTAAGAATTGTTTGAAAATAATTTATAAAATAAGCACTATTTGTAAAGTTTAATTTAATATAAATTGAAAAAAAAAATAATAAATAAATTTAGAAAAAATAATAATATTATCAGTTTAAAAAAAAAAATTTGTAAAAGAAACAAAAAAAAAATTTTATTTTTTCAAAAAGTAAAAAAATATGAAGGTTTTTTGCTTCCGGCGCCACCTTTCTTAGTGGCTGTATTTTGTACTGAGAGCTTTTCTTAAATCGTTTCTAAGATTTCAACATCAGCGGCGCCACTTCTTTAAGAAAGTTTACTTCTTTTCCTGTCTTACCGACGTTTCTTTTCTTCTTTCGTTACGTGATAAATCAAAAAATTCAAAAAAAAAAATTTTTTTTCTATTTTTTTAATCTTTTCTATTTTTTTTTCAAAATCAGACAAATGAAGAATTTATTTCATCAATTATGAAAAAAATTTTTGTTCAAATCACTTAAATTTTAATTGAAAAAATTTATTTTGAAATATTTTCAATATAAATTAAAAATAATTTACACATCTATTAATTGAATTTTATTTTACATTTAGAATGTAAAAATTAAGAATTTGTATCTAAAATTTTTTTTTACCTTTATTCAAAAGTATAAAATTGAAAGTGAGAGATACTTTACTGTATGTTTTGTAAATAAAAAATAAATATTTTATTACAAATATAATTGCAATATTTGTTTATTTTTTTTTGCAGAAAATTAAAAAAAAAAAAAAATGTTTTAAGTTTGAAAAATATTCATTACCGACTATGAATTCTTGAAAGCTGCGTTACCAGGGGGTGAATTTCTTAGAGTTAGAAGAGGGTGCGAGAAAGAGAGTTCGGAACTTTCTTAAAGACCTTTACAAACTTAAACGTCCGAGGGCAGCACTTGTATACTTATAAAAGAAAAAAAATTCAAATTAAAAAAAATTAGTAAGTTTAATTTTAAAAAAAAAATTTCCTTTTTTCTAAAATTACTTAATTTTTTAGAAAATCAAAAATTTTAATTGATCTTAAAACTATAGAATTACGTTGAAAATTTATTAAATAGGTGATACAATTTCTGCATATGTTTATGTGAGTTTCTATAAAAGTAAATTTTTTGTTTTAATAAATTCAAAAATAATCAAATGTTTCGGTTTAATTTGCTATTATTCCATTCCTTTGTTTCCAAATCAGTTTTTATCCAAATTTAAAATTGTTATCCAACTCAACAAAAAATTCTTTCTGTATCATTCCAAATCCAATTTTATTTCAATACCTACTACTCATAGGAATTATTATTATACAATTTTTTGATAAAAAAAAAATCATTAGTACTTTTTTAAAAATTAATAAAAAAAATTATTCTCATTTAATATATATATATATATGTGATTGGCAAACATTTGATTGTGGAAAATTTTGCGGGATTAATAATAGTAATGATAATAATAATAGGGGGTATTTAAACGAAAGTAGAAAGTTGGGGGCTAGTATGGGGACAAACCAAAGCAAGAGAGATCTCGGATAGTATCTTGGCCGGGTCTCGCCCGTAGCTAGGCAACCCCCACCCTCTTAAACCCACCCACCCACCCCCTAGAGTCAACCTGCTGCTACCTTTTCCGCCTCACCTCCAACTGCCGTTCCTCTTTCAAAACCCACCCTCTCCTCTTTCCCTCAAACTTACCGCGGGAGAGCGGGTTCCCAGTCGTCCCGCAGAGGTCACGCTGGGGTACCTCAAACCCCGGGGTTGTACCTTCTTTTACACACCTTCCCCAAACCCCTTATAACTCTCTCTCTCTCTTTCTCTCTCTCTCTGTTCTCTTTTTCTTTCTCTCTTTCTCTTTTTCTCTTTTTTATTGTAGATTCTTTCTAATTATTATTATTATTCTCATCTTCGAGAATTTTTATATATTAGAAAAGGGGGGGAGCAATTAATTAAGGATTTTTGTATCTGTAAATAATATTGAAGAAATATTTAAAAAAAAAACCGTTAGTATCCTATCAAAAAAATTAACATTGGCGCGGTACTGGTACCAATACTGCGAAAGTAGTCAATTTTTTCGATAGGGTACTGTTTGTAAACATGAATTTTTATTATCAATTTTGGTATAGGTTGAATTTCTGTTTTTTAACAAAGAGGAAATTTAAAAAAAGAAGATTAAATTGCAGAGTTGTCAGTTGTTTTTTATTTTTTGGAAGTTTTTTGAGTATTTTTAATTCAAAATTCGATTATATTTTGATGTTTGCTAGTTTTTAAGGCCCCTTGGACTCGAATAAAATAATTACAAGTAAAAATTTCAAAAAAAAAAGTATATTTTACAGAGTTGTCAGTTGTTTTTTCATTTTTGGCAGCTATCCGAGTATTTTTATTTTAAAATTCAATTATATTTTGATATTTACCAGTTATTAGAGCTCCGTAGACAAGAGTAAAAGAATTACAAGTAAAAATTTCAAAAAAAAGAAGTATATTTTACAGAGTTGTCAGTTGTTTTTTCATTTTTAGCAGCTATCCGAGTATT